TTTTCGCTTCTCCAAGAATAAATGGAATTAGAGGACTTAATAACCTTTAATGCAACTGTTGAACAACAGTTATATGGATATTTCGAAGCCAAAGCTTTGCAATTTAATTTTTGGGACTTATCTACAGTATTCCCATTAACTGCGTCGTTTCCAAGTCATTTCAAGAAGTCATCGATGGGCACCCGACCGCCAGGACTGCCCCCTTCTTCTTCTTTTCTTCACAGGACCTTTTAGGCCCGTACTGCCTTCTGTATTGATTTCACTATCGGAAACCAGCAAACAAACTAAAATTTGTCTGCCAACAAATTTCTTTCTGCCCTGTTTTTATGAAACAAATTGATTTTTCAAAAAACAGTTGCATATCGCACAATACAAAGACAGCTTACCGGTAGTTCTTTAGAACCTGGCTCAAAAAGGACAGCTTCTGCTTTGTTAACCATGCTATCGCAAATTGAGCACAACGGTAAGCCACGGCTAACAGCAAATATTGATAAAAATGCGCCCAATTGTTGACTGGTTACAGTAGTAATATCACGAAAACGTGGCCCATTACATGCACCTTTTGGATCTGATAAGAAGTGCTACAAAAAAATAGCGACAGAAAAGAATTCAAAAACCATCCCTGCACATCATAAATCAAAAATTATTACTTTTTAACTGTCACCTTGCGAATTTTTCTGTCACAAAAATTTTTGAGGTGTTAAATTCTTCTAAGAGGAAAACGAGTGTCAATGTTACTAGCCGGCTGATCATCGGAAGAAGCAGCACAGGTCAAAGCAAATGGAGCATTTATCAGCTGCAAAGTTAGAGGATTTTGATCACTGTATTTCTGGCATTATGTCGTCAGTATCCATTAATTTACGGTGAACTGCAGCTGATCAAAGCATTTGTCACGTAGAGAAGTGAAAAATATAATTGGCCAGCATACCGACTGCCAGTGTGAAAATGCGTTTCTTGCACAGTTCCCCGTAAGTTTTTGTCGTTAACAGCACTGTTTTTTCCGGCAGATGCTCCTAGGTAAAAGAACTGAAATTAGCCATTAGGACTGGCAGAAAACTCCCTTAAAATTTAAGCTTTCTAGCTTCTCTGGCTTCCGAGTTAGCAACTTACCCGTTAAAAAGTTTCACGTGCCTATATGTGAGTCGTGCGTGGGCATGGGCGTCCATTTCGGGGATAAGGGCCCGAACATGCGTACAGATTAAGTTACCAAAGTTCCAGCCTTGTAGCTTTTATAGTTCTCGAGATGAAAATTCGGTACAGACACACATATCACACATAAACCCACGTAGACAACCCTTCGACAGTAAGCATTTTTACATTGCATATTTATGCAAAAAATGCATAAAAAATTAATACTCATTTACCAGCATGCTGTTGACCAGGAACTCTACTGGATCCGTTACGCTATTAATACCCAAGCGGCTAAAATCATTTTCCTGCATTGTATTATCAGTGCCCATGCTTCTTCTGGAAGAAAGACTTTTTGAAAAGTTATTTCTGGCTGCATAAAAATTAATCAATATTATTGATTTTGACATTTTGGCCCGTTGCAACCAAAGTGTGGTTGTCTAAATACGCAACTGGCAACTTTTCCAGTTGTCCTGATCAATGTTGCATCGCCTGATGGTTAGTTTAC